GAGTGTTGTTGCCACAGTGGTTCTCGAATCCTAATCACTCTGTGTGATTTCTTGCAAATTGCATTTAGTGAGAAAAACTGCGAGAGCCGTAATGACGCATTTTCACATGTGGACGCCATCGCGGAGTGTTTTCGCGTTGAGCCGTGGAAAAAAAGACGCGCCCGCGAGATTGAAATGCTCAGCAAGGCCTTATTTAGCCCGTCATTGCTCACTTCCTCTGGATCAAGCATTGTTTCCACGACGCGATTTCGCAATGGCTCACAAAAGCATTCCTCAGGCTTGGTCGCGATGCGTGTCATTTGGGTTGTAGAGATAGAAGCGATCTTGTCCATTTGCGGAGTGACGTGAAATTGCGCACGTGCCCGCCAAAGTCAGGTTCTCGAGGGGGGTTTTTATTGAATTTGACACCCCGACGAGTGCCTGATATGCTCACCCTGACCACGGAGTTCAACAAACTCCCCACAATCAATAACAGGCACCCCTTTTTTGCGCCCCGGCCGCCGCTGGGGATATCGCTTTCACGGGAATTTTCAGTTAAATATTGAGATAAAGTACTTCCTGCGACTTCACCTGACCTCTCTAATATTTTTCCACCGGCACAGCTCTGGCGATGAAAAATACGCGGCAATGCTTTGCACCATTATTTTTCATCAACCCAACTTCTCCACCCCATTGAGAAAAATCGCCAATGGTTTTTCTGGGAATTCTCGCACTCGAGAGGAATTCCCGAGAGAGCCTGAAAAATCGAGACAGGTGCGAAATATCTCCCTGGAGACACAAATGCAATGCAATCATGATGGAAAAGTTTTGATGGATATTTCCAATAAAATTGCGAAAAAACAATATTCGAAATTGATCGCAGATACTTTGACGGCACTTCCGATATTGATTTGACAGTGAGGAACTTGCGAAGTAAGAGTTATTTCTTGATCACAAATTGTTCAAAGGTGACTCGATCGGCAGCAGTGATTTTTCAGGCTCAAGCATTTCACAACGACTCGAAAGCTCAGTTTTCGGCTTAGCTATTAAGGTCACCCGCATATGTCGTCGCGTTAAGATTCACAAATCGACCTCCAAAGCTCCGCCGACAAGTGAACTATTTCTGCAAGAGTGAGGCAAGTGAGTTCGCTTAATTACAGCCGACGGCAACGACCATCTCACCCAGTGAAATGGCAAATGGAATAAGAAAATGGTTTATTTATGATGTGTGGATTGCACTTCTTTTTCCTCCTTGCGTTGCCTCCAATTTCAATCGATTGAGCCCAGTGCGAAAATTGAGATGAAGCAGCTCAAAATGTATCGCGAAGAGCAAGTCATTCCAATTAGTGATGAATTATTTATTTACTGTTGGGTATTGACAGTTTTATTATCTCACTGGCCCATAAAACATCGCCGGATTATCTCGACTCAATTAATTTCCAATTGGAAAACAATTAAAATTTTACAGCAAACAGTGTGTCGGCCACTTGAGCGATTTCTCTGGCCGACGTGCGTTCATTCGGGTCACGCCAATTCACACACAATTTCTCAGCCATTTTGAGGCCGCCGATGACTCTTCCCCTCTCGGCGGCGCCTCTTGCTGTGTGTTGGTGTGCCACAGAGTGGGGGAAGCGTTCCAATGCAACGCCCATAAGCACAATCAATCATCGCGCCTCGCGACATTCCGCGGAAAAGCGGTCACAGGGACAAGAATCCACCAAATCGGACACATCTGCCGCCCTCGAACGACTGCCAAGATCTCTATCGGCGGCGCTCGCCTTCGCACAACGCATTCCTGGCCAAATCTCCCGAGACTTTTGTCCAATTGGAACTTCCTCGGCAATCGACAGCCATCTGTGTGCCAGGCACTCCACACTCCAGAGCTTCTTGTCACTCAATACAGGTGTCACTGCGAGCAGAAGCAAGATTTATGGGCGCATTCCTCGCGCCACTGGTTTGAACCTTCGATGCTGATTGAGGTTTGGTGTTGAGAATTTCCCGCGCTTTTGCATAACTCATGAGGGGAGTGTTATTCCCAATAACAGCGTCCGTTGCAAGGGACGCTTTGGCGTCTGTCTGAACGAACGCAATTTATAAGGAAAGCTCAGAAAGCTTCTGTCGAATTTATTTACTCTCTTCAATTCCACACATAAAATGTAATAAGATTTTTATTAAAAGTGTTCTTTCTGATGAATTTATGACATAACAAGGATGAGAAAGTGTGATTTGAGAATGTTTCGTATAGTTTTTCAAAGCATTTCACGATATTTTCAAGCTCTTAAAGTGATTCTGCTGACCCTCCCTTTGATGTCTCACTCTCTCTCTCTCTCTCTCAAATTTGGCCAGAGCTTGAGTAAGTCATAACTCTGCAACCCTCTTGACTAAATCCCTTGTAGTCCTGCTGATAGAACTCAATCCCAAGCGGATTTGCATTTGAGGAAAAAAGGTCCTCCGCTGTCCAGAGAAGGGTTGAACAATTGAGAGGTCGCACAATTGGCAAAATAATTATCATCCCTCTGGCAGCAAATATTTGCTCAGACAGTGTCAAGCTCTCATGCGAAAATTCTCCGCACGCTGCAAAATCTGCACACCATCGCATTTCGGGGATGGTGTGGCTCGCCATTCGTCATATTCATTGTCGTCGGTATTCATCTTATGAGCGGGAAATTATCTCTTTTGCTTGGCTGGGCTTTCGCATATGTGCGCCCGGCGAGGGAGAGCTTTCACAAATCACCCCTCGATTGTCGGGGTTGGGGCGGAAATGGGAAGCACCATGTTGTGGAGTGAATTCAATCGTCGCCTTGTTTTCGGGGCTGCCTCTGCAAGTGATAACAATGGACCCAGTCTGCTGGGGATGATTGTGACTTTTGTACCGGGCGAGAGGGGGTGGCATGACAATTCTCGGCGCGAGGGTGAGTGACAATTCAAAGATTGTCACTCGCATTCATCCCGGCGAATTTGCCCGGGGGCGAGAATCATTGCATTTTTCCACTGGGAAAAATTTCCCGCCTCAATAAATATCAACACGCATTGACATAGAATCTTATTTGAATTTTTGCCAATAAATTCACCCTCACACCCCCCCACAATGGTGTACGCCATCTTCATGGGTGGGAGAAGCATTCCTCGGCGCCTCCTCCGGAGTTGCAATTTTAAAGCTCGCACGCTGTGCATCCCCTGGAATCCATTCACACTACAGAGAGCAAGCTTACAGTGGGAAATTCCAAGTATTCCAGGATACAGATCTGCGAGGGTGGACGAGGGACGACAAACCTGCTGATGATGATGATGAAAACAAAACGGAGCACACTAATAAATTAATCACGGCAAATGTTCACACCATTTAGCAAGAATCCAATCCGATATGGAATTTAATTTAGAGAGACACCCAACTCTCTCTATTTTCCATGATAATTGCACGAGAAAATACACCAATTGAATTATTTGCCTTCGAGCGACATTACTCACTGCATCGTGAATGGGAGGGAGTGATTCTCCATGTGAGGGACTATTTGGGGAATTTGTGCGGATGGGAAATCACTGAATTGGGACGAAGCCGATGAACAAAGAGCCTTGGAGCATCTGGAGTAAATTATGGGGAATATTGTGTCGTATATAAAATGCTATTAAGAAAAATCTATAAGAAACTCTTCCGATCATTGCAAAATGTAACAATTTGTTCTTCAAAAACTGCTCCTCTTACATCAGAAAATGCTAAAAAGATGAAAGACTTTCACATGATATTTTAGGGCCAAAAAATTCCCACCACTTGCGCCATCGTGCTTGCAATCTTTGGAGTCTCAGTGCTTGAAATTACTTGCAAATTATTCATAAAGCAGTGGCAAGTGGCCGCGAAGAATGATTTCATTTCCAAGTTATTATTTTGGCGTGCGGACAATAAATCTTTCCTCCTGGCGTGAGGGGGGTCTAAGAGACGTGAGATTAATTGTTGTTGGCATCGATCCTCGCAGACAGATCTGTTGCGCTTGTTTGACAATTTATCAACTCGACAATATCAAACAGTGTAGCGCGATCTCGTCACTCGGTGTGGCATTTATAAGAATAATTTTACCCTCTATTGCACCACTTTGTGCGATCATCAGCGTGATCGCACGTATTTGGCGCTCTTTTCGCACGTGCGTGCGTCGCCTCTTGACATTGTTGCACACGCGAGAGCTGCTTAGTCGGGATCGCGGGAATGAGACGCGATAAAAAATGCCTCCATCGCAGTAAACATGTGTTTCTGGTCAGAAAGTAGTTTGTCACAGGAGATTTATCAGTGCCACTCGAGGAGGCTTTGTCCACACCAGAGGAGATCTCTTGGCGCGCGGGGGAGATTTGTGGCATTTTATTGCACCGTTTCACAATAAGATGAATTAGAAGGTGTGGATGATCGAGAGTTGACAATCACTTCCCTTCGTTGAATGTGTGTATTTTGGGATGTGAGACTCGAGTAAAGAGGTCAAAAAGTAGCTCTTCTCGCCGAAGACTCTGTGTCAATTTACAACATCTGCAGAGAATTCTCTCCCTGGAGATCCCACCCCTTCATCTCTGGTAAATGAAGCTCACATTTTCGCATAACTCTGGCTGTCAGACCAAACAAACCGGGCCAAGAGTGTCGTGTCGCCTTGCCGTATTCCGCCTTCATGGCCATGAAGTTCGAGAAGATGCCATCCAACCCCCGATGAATGGTCCATTTACCATGGAATCTCATAATGATCACATGGACTCGAGAGGCGATCCTCGGTCGTGATCGCCGGAGCCAATGGGGAGTGTTTTCGCACATGTTCCATATTTTCCTATATGTGAATACTGTCTGGTGGGAAAAAGAGAAAAAGCCATCCTCGATGTGACAACTTTTTCATGACTGATCCATCTGACGAAATCAGTTTCTTTGAAGATCGTGCCATGAGCAGATCAATCCCGCCATGGGTATTTTTAGGAAGCCCGCCAAAATCCAAAGTCTCTCAAATGCGATGCTAAGCAAAACTAACGGACTCTCTCTCTCGGTGTCTTTGCAGGAAATTTTCGTTACCAAGGCCAAAGCCCTCGCCAAGGAGTGGATCATCTGGGATACGTAAACAATGAGCGATCACTGAGCCCAGCGTGATCTAATCCAAGTGATGTGTCAGGTGAAAGTGAAGTTGTAAAGTTACTGAGACACGCTCTGCAAGTGAGGCTCCGTGAGCCACGTGTGAGGATAGCTTTAGAGTCGATCGGGCAGGGGCAAAAGCACCAAAAATTGGGGGTGACGACGATTGGATCTACTGCGGTGACGAGAGGAGTGTCAAGGACGCAAAAATGACCATGAGTACAAATAATTGCGAGAGTATGACATCATACTTTGCCAACAGCTACATGGGCTCGGAGATGCACGGCCACTACCCGGCGGGCGGGGTGGGCGACCTGGACGGTGGGCAGCAGATGCACCACTACAACCAGAACCCCAACCAGGGCAACATGCCCTACCCCCGCTTCCCGCCCTACGATCGCATGGGCTACTACAACCAGTCCATGGAGCCCGCCACCTACACGCGAGCCGACAGCCCGTCCAGTCAGCTGGGCGCCAGCGGGATGCCCCAGCAGCCCAACGGGACGCCCATCGGGTCGCAGTCGCAACAGCAGCAGCCGCAGCAGCAGCAGCAGCCCGTCGTCTACGCCAGTTGCAAGCTGCAGGCGGCCGTGGGCGGCCTGGGCATGGGCGCCGAGGGCGGATCGCCTCCCCTCGAGCAGATGGGCACCCACCACATGAACTCGCAAATGTCGATATCCCATCACATGGCGCACGCCCAGGGACAGGTGAGCACAGAGTCCAAATTGACCCGATTTAGGCTCAGCTAGAGCCTCTCATGTTTAAATTGCAAACACTGAACACCCGCAATTCCATTCGCAGGTCCACCAGAACCCCCAGCACATGGGCATGTACACACAGACGGGCGGCGGGCCGCCCGTGGGCCCTCCGCAAGGCATGATGCACCAGCAGGGGCCCCAACTGCACCAGGGGCAGCAGCAGCAACCGCCCAACAGTCAGAACACCCAGGCGTCGCTGCCCTCGCCGCTCTACCCGTGGATGAGGAGTCAATTCGGTGAGTCCCGTGAGTCTCTTCTTGGCTGAACTTATCTGCCCCTGACCCTCGCGAGAAATCCCGCCGAGACTGAGCCAGTCTCGCCACTCTTTTGCCTGCATTTCGGCGCTTAACTCTCAATTCTGCGCCAATTGATTCGTCACGGATTCAGGTGATAATGCTGGCAGGTTTCTTCTGGGTCTCCTCCTGCTGGGCCGAACAACAGACCGCACTCTTCCGGGTCTCTTGTGTCGCTTGCACCAATTTCTGCCATTCAACTGTGCGGATCATAAATATTAAGAGAAGCTGTAAATTCAAATGTCTTGTTGGGCAGCGTTGCAAGCACAAAGAGCGAGTCAATAGGCAGAATTCCCCATAAAACATTGCGCATAAAAGGAGCTCGAGTGAGAGAGAGCCTCCGGGAAAGATAGCAAGTGGCCGAAGAGAAAGTGGCGAAGGAGGAATTAAATGTAAATTACCATTTCAAGTCACACAAATTGTATTAAATCAATTTTGGCCCTCACTCCCCCCCTTTTGCGACTCTCGGCGACCACAGAATTTCAGTTTAGTTTACACTGTGGTTCAACGTCTGAATTACAAGCATAAAAGCACGTTTCTTCTCGTTGGCGGCCATAAATTTAGCGACGCTCAACAATGTTGCAACAAGTGGCTCGTTTTCAGACATCTTGATGTACTAAAGAGCTTTCTGGTTTAGATAACTATATGGGGGATACACACCCCACTCTCTGGACCCGCACACACTCGCCTCCACGAATTTTCTGCGCCTCTCCGGCAGCCTTTTGCGCCCCATTTCGGCCTCTATATGTACATACATATAGTAAAAAGAGCTTCACGCGGCCGTCTAACTTTTATTTAATTCTTCGAATTATCCTCCTTCGTCATCCTTGGCTGGGGATTTACCATCTTGCATCAGAACGCTCTTGGCAGACAATGCCCCAAAATGTGATGCTTTGTGTGCGATGTTCTGAATGTGACAAAAAAAAGCCTCCCGGACAGTGAGGGCAAAAAGCACGATAAATAGGAAGAGTCGGTGAATGAAATCGTTGCCATTGTTTTCGTATTTCAGCATCCCCAAGTTTCGGGGGCAAAAACCACCCCCAGGCAGCAGAAGAAAATCCTCTGAGAGAGAGGGAAAAATTTATTTCACTTTCCCTCTTCTCGGGCGGTGGGTGGGCAATTTTTCTTCCCCACCGAATCGCAACGCGATTTTCTTTGACAATAGATGGGGTATTAGTCAACTTCCAAAACACAATAATATCGTATTAGGGGGAGCAGCAGTTCAAGGATTGGGATGAATCCTTCATGAGCAGAAGAAAGGCGATTTTTTTGCCCTCCGCCACCCTCCTTTTGATACGATTGTGTCACCTCAAATGCCACCAGAGGGGCAATTATCGAGGGTTTGTGGAACACCGCGGGGCAATTCTTCGTGCGGTGCGAGATTCCCGCTGCAATTGCATTCCATTAATAAATTTCATTCTTATTATTAACTCTTTAAGAGAGACAAACACCGCAAATCATGAGGATTGGTATTTCACTGCGGATGTCTTGTGGCTCAGAGCTGAGATGAAGTGACAGAAGTATAGATAAGAGAGCTTTTTTGAAAGCTTTTCTGACAACAATTATCGATTTGTTATTTCTTTTGAAAGTCCTTTAGTGGATGGAATTTAATTGAAGGACCAACAGCGCTGATTGCAAAGCTACAAGACCGTCAAGATTGACAGCTTGACCATCGCGAGTATCTTCCGGATTCACTGGATTCCTTCCAATCACACAACATGTGATCTATTGCCTCCAACTCTGGCCAGTTCGGCCTTCCTTGGGTGTCTCTGGCGGTGCATCTCGCGTGAATATTTGTGAGTCCGCGGCATGTTAAAGATGCATCCGAGTGCCAACGAGGGAGCAAAGTGTGGTTGGTGCACAAGAAAGGTATCCACGAGCACAGATTGATGGTCCCCATTGCATACGGCAATGTAACTAATGGGCGCAATCAATTTTGCTTTACATCTCAATCTCTCCAGCGTCTTTCTGCCCCACGTCCCGATTCCTTTGGACGCCCTTTTTGTTCTGGCCCAACAAAACCATGCGCTCACATGAAAGTGCCTGTATTGTAGCTCGTGTGCGCTCTCGCCCTCGGATGAATGGGACGGATTCTTTCGGGGGGAGCCGGGGAGCGATAAGAGAGCTGGATGGCAGGACAATGGCATGATTGAAGACATCATAGATTTGCCACTGACGTCATTGTGCGGGTCGTGGAGAGACTTATGCCTCTGCAACAGCTCAATTTATGTGTAAATTAATCCAATTTCCATCCACAATTGGCCTGCAACACCCAGAAAGCGTGGGCGGATTGTCGCGAGTGGCTTTAATTGGATATCCATATAGACTCGCGGGGATGGGCGTTTGCGTGTCTGCCTTCCTCGCGGCGCTGCAGCTGGGAGACTACAAAATCCGGGAACATCCTCAGGGCTTCCCCACAAGTTCACGGGTCGCCCCCCATGCAAATGAACCCCATCAATATTTTCCCACCTCTTCGCGCGGCGCAGTGAAATTAATTTTGACGTGGAGGTGAAAACGGTGCGAGAATCAATTATCAGGAGGCAGGAAATTAGTTGTGGGGCAATGGAAAATTTGACGAGAAAAGAGGTGTATATCACTCCATGGTGAGATTAGTTTATTCAACTCTCATGCGCATCCATCAATTGGCTTGGCAGCGTAATTTGGCGAGTTGTTTTCGGCGCGGGAAAAGAATAAGTCAGTGCCCACAGAATCGTAATTAAAATCATATTAAAGTTCAATTTGGTCGAAAATTGAGTGAAAAGCTTGAAATAATTCCCCTCTAATTGCAATTTCACAGCAGAGACTCGGATTTTTTTCGCCACACTCTGAGGCAACTTTCCTACACCCATGGAATTTAATATGTTCAAATTTTACATCAATTTTAATCCAATTTTCATTCATAAATCAAAATTGTCTTCCTGACTCTATATGGCTCTTTAATCTCTTTTCTTTCTCTCTGCATGGCGTTCTCTTGGGATCCCATGGATAATCACAAGAGGCAAAAACTTCCGTCTAATTATTTCTCTATTCCTCCCCTCGACAGAGAAAAATTCTCCGCTAGATGGAAATTGAGAAGATCTTCCCGTATGAACTTGTCGGTCTTTTTTTTACAGTCCACGCTGAGCACATGTGCTTTGGAGGATCGGCGTTTTTGTGTCTCAGGCATTCCTCTCTTTGTGCGGTGCGACCCATCAGCCCGAGGATTTTAATACCCACCCATCGGAACGGCATAAATTCCTCACGGAGATTCTGTTGTGATGTCGAGAATTTTGATATGGGTCGTCGAAAACATCCTGCCTTCGGGAGGCCCGAAGGATGCACCCAGAATCTTGGAAAAACACCTCACAATGCCACAAGATATTACTCAATGTCATCTTCCACCGACAATTAAGTCCCTTTCCCGCGCCTTTTATCTCCCGAGGGGTGGAACGGCGGCAGGGTGAGGGGTTCGCGGTGGGACGAGGTTGATATTATGTGAATTATTTACAAGGGCATAAAATGCAAATCATCGCAGTTTTATGGGAATTTCCTCAGGAGACTTCTCAAGCAATCAAATGGAGCAGCAAAGGCGATATTACATTTCGCATCCAAGGATTGGATTTCATTTTTTAAGTCCCTAACTAGCATCAGTACTTTTCTTTTACTGAGAATTTAAAGAGTTTGTTTTCCTTCTTGCTTACACGTTTAATTCAAATACACTTTGAACCAAAGTTTAGACTCAATTTTCCTCTACATCTTTTAATTTAATTCCATTTCACATATTTTCTTTCCCAATTCCCGCGATCTTCTCGTCATTCGTCTAATCCTGCAGATAATCAGATTTGATGCGATGGAAGAGATAATCTTCTCGCGCATCCCATCCGTCTTCTTGGACATTCTTGCGGTTTCGCGTCCTCGCGGTGATTAAATTTCCAACGCCGAAATTCCTCATGTTGGATTGCAAATTAATATCACGTCGTCATTTATTTAATCCCCATTGGAGGGAGGGGGGCCGCTGGGTCGTTTTTTCCTCATCATCTTTTCTGGCAAAGTTGAAATTGCTAGGAATCACAAGTTGGGATTAAAACACATGTTCATCACTGACAAGAATAAATACTTGTAGTGAGGTCTTTTGATGTTGTGCGCGCTGCCTTCGAGGAAAAATGACTCTGTGGCATAGAGAGAGAGGAAAACCGGTGGCGAAAAGGGCTCGGATGAACAAAAGGCTTTTATTTATAAAACTCCCGAGACAAGCGCCAAATATGAAGAATTCGGTCGGAATTCTACAGAGTGTGAGCAAAGGGGGGAACGCAGCGCGGGAAGAGGGAGAGAATTAATGAATTAATTATGAATGTGGCATGGAAATTTTGATTTATTTCCTCACTCGCTATTTTCATTACACCGCACAAGACAATTCGGAGTTTTCCACCCTCGTCGCGGGGGTCAGAGATCAACCCCCTCGTGGGGTCGCGCGAGGCGCAAAAAAGCAGAGACTTTCTAATTATTTTGCATGGAAGGGATTCAAAACGTATTAATCAGGCCCGTGAGAGAAATTCTGCTGGGTTGTCCATTAATTTGAATCCACCTTGATGACCATTTCTTGCTTAATTGCGGCGAATTTTTGACACCAAATTTATTTTCATCTCTGCAGCCGGCCACAAAAGAAATGAGCCAGTGAGCACACGCTTTTTTGCGCACAGGTTGTCCTGGCCTAGGAGATGCCTTTTTTGCCGCCCCATCCGCCATCCATCTCCTCAGGTGTGCTCTTGGACAGCATCAGGCCGCGCAACAAAAGAAGTAATACTGCGTGGCAAATGACTTGGGGAGTTTGTAATGCATACAGAGAGAGCTCATTTCATAGCCAATGGTGGGGGGCGAAGTGTTATTAATTTTCTTTCGAGGCTCGCTATTATTACCCAGAAGAGAAGGAAGGTAATTGAATGCCCGCGGACATTGAATCAGATAATTATATTTCTCATCATAATTAAATTCCAATTCAATTCCGCCATCTCATTTCGACTTCTCGCCAGTGTTTCTTCGCTGTGCCTCTTTTTTTCGTGTGTGTGCCCTCGAAACCACTCCTCCCGAAATGATGAGCAATGACTCTGGATTATCGTATCTCGTGTTGCCTGGCCTTTTTTGTGCTCCACCAAACTAAATAACCATCAAACTCTAATGGCTCTTTAATAGTCCACCACCATTGCCGGCCATTTTTGAGGCCTCTTTGCCATTGATCCGTGTAGATGATGGCTCTTTATAGATGTTTTTCTTGCCGAGAGAACTTTTTTCCTCCTCTTTCTCAGGCAGAAATCCTCATGGGGTGCACGCAGTTTGCCACACACCCGGAAATGGCAGAAAGCGATGTTGGGAAGGAACTTTGTTCCTTATCTGACCATAGATGTAATCAATTCAATGACGTCAATCACGCATTCGCCCAAGAAAGCGCGCGAGAGAGAGAGAGAGAGAGAGCAGAGTTGAGAGGAATATGAGACTGTTCTCTAGATAGTATTAACGTCTACATTGCCTCCAACTCTGCTCGCGGTTGCAAATGATCGGCGAAGAGTGGCTAAGGAGACTCTTGGGCTCAATTAATCCCCAAAATTTGCTCTTTGGGTGCAATTAAACGATTTTCCCCGACACACTGAGATTTCCCCAGCCTCAATTCCACATGTCTCTCCTCTTCTTTGCCTCTTCCAGAGCGAAAGCGTGGCCGACAGACGTACACGAGATACCAAACACTGGAGCTGGAGAAGGAGTTCCACTTCAACCGATACTTGACGCGGAGGAGACGGATCGAGATTGCCCATGCCCTCTGCCTCACTGAGCGCCAGATCAAGATCTGGTTCCAGAATCGCCGGATGAAGTGGAAAAAGGAGAACAAGACGAAAGGCGAGCCGGGATCTGGAGACAATGCCGATGAAATCACGCCTCCCACAAGTCCACAGTAATGCAACCCCTCCGCGAGAGCCAGTCTTAATTCAATTTCGGAGTAATTTATCCCGGTTGATTTACCCTCGAACACACTTTGGCAATAATGGTGGTGTTTTTCATCCCACTGAAATTTCCTCTTTAGTTTCCAGACTCGGACAATTTCAGAAATTGGATTTTAATGAATTTTGATAAGAATGTCTCAAATGATTTCAAGTCTCCCACGCGATAACTTGTGCAACAACACAGCCAGAGTTGAGATCTCTAGTGAGATGACAGCGACAAGATGAAGGCATAGAGATGACCTGTGGAGCGAGATTTAATGAGAAATCTATAAAGATATAATTAAAAATAGTAATGAAAACCAACTCATGTGACCTCAAATTAATTTAAAAGAAATATATTAATATTTAATGAGTAAACGTGTAAGAGTTAGTAATGAAATTAATATATTATGCGTATAATTTCGTGTGTAAACAAGTAGACCTCCTCCACCTCCCACAATACATATAATAATAATAAAAGATGGACAATTGGAGTTGCAGATGAACGAGGACATGAAAAATATGACAAAAATTCCTGTCAACATTTATCGTTGAAGCTGAGCATGGGTTTTTTTCTGTTTATTCCGAACTACAAAGGATATGGAGAGAATGAGAGAAAATTTATTTATTGTCACGCAGAAACACACAAGAAAACCATGTGAATAATGGACTCTGAGCAAGTGGTAGCCAAGAAAATAGGAAGGGAAATGCGAGAAAAATAGTTAGAGGCCAGTGATTCAGTGCAATCAAGTGGAAAAGGAAAAAAAGAGGACACAGAAGTATGGTAATTTTGTGGAATAGAATACACAATGGAAAAATGGAATTATTAAGGAAAAATAATAAAAATTACCCAATATACGTACAAAAGTGCTGGACAATTTTTAAATGTACATAGAGTATGGAAAAATCCTAAAGAAAATTTTAAGAAAAAAAAGTATTTAGACTCTTAAATGTAAGGAAAACCAAGTATCGAGAGGAAGATTTTACTTATTGTATCCCATGAACAAAAGGAAGAGAAAAAAACCACAAAAGTATATATAAATTTGCATATTAAAGAGAGAAGAATCTAATTTTCAAAGATCATCTTGTAAGATTATTGCTAAAAAAAATGGCAAAAAGTAGAAGTGAAAAATGAACCTTTTTAATTGTAATTTCATTGTGATTCGCAAGTGAATTCTCAATTTTGGATATGACGTATACAAAATTCAGCGAGATAGGCAAGGAGGAAATTTCTTAAAAAAAAATGTGTAGAGTATTTGAAATGTGTAATTCAAATTTAGTAAGGCATTTGAATTATTCGTCTATGACGCCCACTGAGTCCTTAAGTACCATCGCACTGAAAAGAGTGCATATTTTATTTGGATTTTACTGCAAAATTGTCGAGAAAAAGCAACCATCCCTTCTTTTCAATGAAGACCTAAGGAAAACCCCAGGATAAACACACACACACATAAGAAGGGAGAGTGATTTGCTGATGGGATCATATAGTTTTCTTCTCAGAATTTTTATTCAATTACGATCTCAAGAAAGAAAGAAATCACATCGGCATACGCGTGTTATTATACGCACCAATATTTTCGCTAATGCCCGGCAAATTTCTCTCCCTGTGTAGAAAATAATATCTCTGTATAAAATAGGCAAGAAAAAGTGATGTGAAAATAGTCTGTAAAGTAAGTTTAAAGAAGATAAAAAGAACAGTGTAATTTTAACTGATTGATTCAGAAAGTACACGTCGCAATAATACTCTCTAATTTGCCCCATGATCGTTAATTTGACTCATCATTTGTCATCAGAAAGAGTTAGAGGAAAATAGTTTTAACAAATGGACGCATTTGACAGTACCCTGAATCTCTTTTACCCGCATACCAAAGCCATACAAGTTCTGTAATTAAAGAAGAAAATGAACAAGTCTCTTAAACACTAATTTAAATACGAAATAGTGGTGTATTTTTTATAAAATAAATGTGTGCCCATATGTAAGAGGAAATCAATATCGAGAGAGCAACAACCAGACAGTGAAGAGTATTAGATCAATGCCAATAGTTTATTTTCCCAAGTAAAGCATCTCCCATTGCCCTATATAATACGTACTTCTTTCCTTGCAACACACGACTGACAAAATTGTTGATTTGGAAGCTGAAAAGAAAAAGTGGACGAAAATGATTTGCGGAGGAATTAGACAACAAATATACGTAAAATCAACCGCCCCAAAATGTATGATATTTAGTGACAACTTGTATTTACCACTAAAAGATATTCTAATAAATTCTAATTAACCTTTAACGTGTTAAGAGAAAGCATTTTCGATGATATTTCTGATATTTATATATTTTAAACAAAAAATGAATTGAGCCAAGAGCCATCAACTAAATTTATGGTGATACTATCGCCACACAGTAATTTATCGCAAAAATTCTATCTCCGGGAACTGAAGTTCCTCTCGCGAACAAGGAGAAAAGGAAAGCGAAACAAGGAGGAAAAATGGCAAGCATGAAAATTGAGTAAAATTAGACTTTTCCCATTTTTCAGGTGCGCATGACTCATTTTATTTTCACTTTGTAAGAACAAGACGAGTTGAAGTAGGCAAAAGATGGGCACAGAATGTATATTTGTATTAAAGACGAATGCAAAAGAAGATAAAAAAAAGATGAATAAAAATTTATAATATATTTAAAGTGAGGAGGAAAAAAAATTGAGTAAAAGAGATGAAAAAAAACCCTATAGATTTAAGAATGTAAGATATAGCATTGATACAGTAATGTGAAATTGTGATTATTTTTGTTATAATGTAACAACATATTATTTAAAAAGGCAAAACAAATTGTAACGAATTCTGCAGGCCACAGGTTGACGTGAAATTTTTTTTTCTCTTTTCTTTCCTGCGAAGAAATGGGACATTTTTCTACAATAAAAAAAAGAAACAGAAAAGAAAAAACAAAGAACTATTCGAATATGACAAAAGCAAAATGTGCAAAGAATCTTGAGAAGCACTAAAAAATTATTTCTCTCTCATTTTAAGGAATAGTGAAATTTAGAGTATAAAAATTTTTCTATTGGTATAAAATTGGTTTCTAAATATTGAGAAAAACGGAGTATAAAAAAAATTGAGAAAAAAAATCTATTGCTAATTAATTCTTAAACTATTGGAATGAGAAATTTGATTGTGTAAAGAAAACACAGACACTTGAAAAGGTACCATTACTATAAATACTATAGATAAAAGAAGTGAAGTTTCGTGTTGAAACGAGACCATCAATTTTTTTTTGTTTAGAACCGTCATAGATTATATACACAACAACTTAAATAATATTGTCGTATATACAAGAAAAAAGGAAGTATAAGATAACAATAAAAAAAAACATTGTAAAATATTTTAAAAATCGATTTTTGACACACACGAAAGAAGACATTTGAGAAAATGGTGGGCTAATTTCGTCAATCAATCACGGTTAATTTTTCATGCAAGAGAGCCCTCTCACTCTTCCTATCACTCAATGTTTTTCGTCATAAATCAACCGGGTGAGACCTGTCTGAACTCTGTCTCACCAGCAGGCCTCGGAGATGTTCATTTTCGATTAAGTTATTACGGACAACAAAGGGTCTTTTGTGGCCAAGAACAAAGGACAAACATCCACCAACTATTGGTGGGATTCTTGAAGATGATGAAACACCCGAGAAACATCCGCAGGGTTGGGCAAGGTGTCCTGTTTTTGGGGAATATATATTCAAAAATTGTTATTCAAAGCTTCAAAGAAATCCCCCAAAAACTCTCGAGAAAGTTTCAGGGAAGTGCGAAAAGGGGGTGCCAAAGGGGTATAAATTCACTGTGTGGCGCACAAATGACGATTAAATGTAGCTTGAAGGCAAGATATGGAGAGAATGGCAAGTTGTATGCCAAAAGAAAGCGACAAGAAGGCTCAAAGTATTGTGCAGAGTAATGTCCTCTTCAATTCAACTTGCAAAGATAAGTTGTGCACACACTTGAAGATTTGACATAGAGGAATGTATATTAAGAGAATATTAAGTAAAACAGCACGAAGAATCTTTGCATTGAAGTGAAATGCACTGTGAGTTGAACCTTCCTTAGTCTAATCCTCAAGTGTGTGCTCGCCTTCAGGAGAAGAATCATTGGGCGAATTCCAAAGACGAAACTTTGTCTCCAAGAGAGACACTATAGCCAGATATGGGGATAAAATGAGCTGGCAACTTTTGCCTCCTGTGGAGAGCCTCCCGAAACCCCCTCACTGTGAAAGGGTTCAGCAGCCCCCAAAAGCTTATTGATCCGCTGCTCCTCCGAGAAAGTGAATAAATGGGTGGGATTTTCAACCCAATGACTTCATTGTTTGCACCACAGCGATGAAAATGTGTCTCCCAAATGCCTCACGATTATCATCGATCAATCATTCTTGATGGACTTTTCGCGGGAGGCCTCGTGACATGGAAAAAAGACCTGCGTGGCCCATGGGAAATATCCACACAATTTGGCAGGCAAATCGAATGACAATTCATGCAATTGGACGTCCACAATCAGCATTAATGTGCCTTTTTATTAAATCTGACATCGGCGAGAGATCATAAATCATGCATTAAGCATTCCATCGGGATGGATACAATATTTTTTCCCAATCCAACACCCACGATACCCAAACTCCAGCCCGACCGAGAATGCCCTCAGAGATTTCTGGACACTGAGTCTTGAGCTGGTGAAGCAGCCCGACTAGCTGTCTTGCAACATAGAGCGGAACCGCTCTTGGATGAGACTCCGTCGAGGGGCCATCATGAAATGGGCACATCCAAAATTAGGGTCCGCCTGACTCGAAGGTGGTTCTCGAGCACGAAGACGCCTCTGAGTACCGAAAAAATGGGATTTTGGGCCAAAAATGTTCAAAAACTCTGGATTTTTCGCAAAAATGCGATCCTCCTTGTGCCAAAGGACACCCCAGGTGGTCAAGAAGTGTGCAAATCCGTCGAAAAGTGCCCCTTTTGGACGATTTTGGAGTTTCTTGTGGAAACTATAACCGTCTCGTTTCGATTCACTGACGTTTTTATGACTGGTGTGATCTAGCGGAGTTTGAGCCATGCCCAATATATTCACTTTAGCGCTGAGAATTCCTCACGCAACCATACCAACTTCCATCAAAGACACCGACTCCGATGGGGTATTCAGAAGGAGAAAAAACCCCATTAATTACCTCTTTGCTCTTTAATTGTCTACCAGTTGAAAATTCAAGATTTTCCATTCAATTACCATAGTTAAACATCCATAAAATTGAATTGTACTCAATGGCGAGAAACTTCTCATATGTGGGTGTTTATTTCTTCATCATTAATCGCCAGATATTTCCCATCAGTCTCACCTGCCGGAGAGCCCATCGATGGACATCAACTTAAGGTAAGTCCGCAGCGTTCTCCGCGATCCCTTCTGTTCGCGACACTCTGTCCACAAAGAGGTGCCAAATGGTTGGGTGTTAATTGGAAGACAAAGTATCATCTTGATTGCATATCGCGGTGAAAATTCACGGAGCCGCAGTTCTAAATAGCCCGAGGCGTGAATATTAATTCGATGCTATTACAATCTCAGCACCGGGCTGTAATTTAGCTCGACGGTCAATAGCTGTTTTCACAGTGCATATCACATTCATTAGTTTGGGTGTAATTCCTGCAATTTGCATTGTGATGAGATGCTGAAGTGCCGATGAAAAGCATCTTTTTTCACATGAGAGATGCCATAAAGCACGTTCACCTCCAAGATGAGATGACTTGGCGAATTCTGGGTGATGTAACAGCAGAAATTTTGAGGATAGGAAGACATTTTCAACATACTTTTCCATGAGGGAATATTAAGAGTGAAAGAAAAGGTAAACGACAGAGTTGAAAGTGAACTTCTAACAATAAATTGTTCGAGTAATACAATTAAGAAGAAAGTTGTGTGTGTGTGCATAATCAAGCTTGATTGAAAGGTAGGTATCAAATTATATAATTTTATGGTCATTTTCTAAAGCATTATTGTTATACGCGAAGAAATTCAAACGTACGAAATTCGAGTGTAAATTTTTCAGAAACCCAAACACGAATTTTGAATTACAAATTAATCTTCTCTTGCATGCCTCTGAAAAATACATCGCGGCCACATTTCTTTTCCAAAAAGAGAATTTAAATTAGCATTCCCAAAAACGAACCCATAATATTAACAAAGAAGTCTCACTGTTGAACTTGGCGACCTCTTAACGATCATTAACTTTACGTGTTTCAAAAGGCAACCACTATTAAGAAATTCCTCTAGATTGTTTGAACAAACATTTTCAGGTAATTCCATACAGTGGAATTGAGATTAAATTCTCCACAATTGTTTTATTCAGAGCCCAACAAGTTCTCGGCATTTTCCGCTTCGTGGCTAAAAGAAATGCGCCTTTTATACAAATAAAATAGAGTCGGAAAAACTTTTGTCATCCAGAAAGCTCTCTAATTTTGCTTGATAAAATTTTTTCGCTCACTTGAGGAATGATTTGCCATTTTTCTCCCATTCTATGGACGGTCAGGGCCTCCCTTCGAGGCGGATTTATCGGGAGACCATGAATAAGTTTGGGGCGGGTGTGGGCATGAGGGAAAAAGAAAAGAAAAGTGCAGGAGGAGAAAGTGGGGTAGTGGTTGGCGTATTATTTGGAATACAATTTCGTCCTCAATGTGGCAAATTCTCTGAAGCGATTTTTCGTCCCGTCGTTGGACGACAAGGAGAAAACGACGACGTTTGGTATTTTTTCTCACTCACCCGGCATTCTATATATACTTGCCACGCCACTGACATTGATGGATTGGCAAAACGGAAAGCGAAAAACTGAAAATGTCACTCGGATTAATGTTTGGGTATAAAGAGAGAGCGAGGAGGAAAAAACTCACCCTTAAATATATAACATTGCTACAAATGTTGACTCACTTATATAATGTTCTCCCTATATATTTTGGCGTGGAGAGATGGAAAATTTCCTCATTGAGCCATTATTTAGAATTAGAATTCGAAATACCGACACTTCGCTGCGCTCCTCCGCATCCATGCGGAGGCCGGAGAGTGCTCGGTAAATGATGGCTCGGGTCCAACCCCCAAAAAGTGGTCAAAGACTAGGAGTGCACGATCAATCCTGCGGGAGAGACAGCCTGCAGGCAGTGAAAGTGGTGACAATGTGGACTTTAATTCGGGGATGATGCGCCGTGGCAGGAGCGCGGTTGCTCTTAAAAATGGCAAAGCCCCATCTTCTTCCGCCGGGTGCCGTGGGGGTGGAATTCTTGAAATTGGCGGCTGAGAGAAAAGCCTCCCTGGCCCAGAGAAATATCCGGCATTATGTGGCATTTCTCTTTTTCCCTCCCCCAACGACGCGGGCGCGTGGGTGACACAGCCATCAATCACCGAGGGATGATGGATCTACCATCACTGTATCCATTTTAACTGGCAAACACTCGTGGGTGAGGGTGGATTTTTCCACGGAGTATCGCCGCCTCTCGCTCTGACCCATTTGTCGGCGCCCGAAGACGGGGGCGGGAGAGCCTCTTTCTTTCCTCCGGAGGAGCGTGTTTTGTTTCATTTCCTTCGCTCTCCCCCAGCAGCATCATCAAGCAAAACCACCCACCCGAGCCACCTTCTCGTGCCATTGTTGCCACACTCATACTGATTGAAGTGGCCATTAGGTTCTCGTTACACCACTCAATGGCTGGCAGGCACTCACGATGGATTTTCCAGGAGGGCTGGCGCGGTGGGATGATGATGGGACCAAGAAGAGAGCTTATAGCCACTCTGAAGAAAGAGATTCTTTCGAAGACCAAAGACATAGAGTCCTCCACGCGCTGAAAACTATCGCAGTTCAAGCGAAATCTTACCAATTTCCGAACAACTGCCCGACAGCGAAAGATATCTATGATTTCTCCAAATTTTTCCCATCATAGAAACCAAAGACGATGCTTGACTTCATCCCTTCCGCACGATTAGAGTATCTGTGGCTTCCTGAGCAGCGAGTTTGGGGCAAAAAGAGGCACCTCGTGATGTAATGGCGAGTGCAAGAGTCGAGGAAGGAAAAAACAAACAGACTCAGTGAAGCAGAAGGTGGACAGGAAGGCTAGAAAAAAATTGGAAATGGATTGTAGAAGAGATCCGGAGGGGGTGGGTGGAAAAATGACTGACCGGAAGAGATCTTCTGGTGGTTTTTCTGCTGAATAGACCGCCCTGAAAAGGTGGCCATCGACAGGGAAAAACTCCCCATAAATCATCCCCACCGTCTCGCCCCCCCCCCCACAAAGATCAGGCCCATATATAGTGAATAATTTGCAGAAATTCCACCGACAATTCCTCGGGATTGAAATTCAAATCAATTTCCCAATGGGCCGTGGCAGTTGCCGTCAAAGCGCCAACTAAAGAGGTCC